ACATTGCCCTCTTGGCCTCAATCATCCTGTGACCTGGGGGGGGGGGGGGGGGTGAGGATGGGGTGCATGTAGGTGATAGAGGTTGGTGGTAGGAGATTAGGAACATTTTCTGAAATTGTATTCCCACTGAGGGCTTGCAGCATAGGTATGATTTGGGTTCAACTTAGACTAACTGACCTGCTGATATTGTGGGTGTCTGGTGAAAGGGCTTGGTTTAGCACTGCCAGAGACAAGTCTTAGTTTTGATCCCTTGTAAGGTTAGTTCTGTTGCGTTGCTTGAACTCAGGTTATAACTGTTGGCAGCCAGGCTTATTTTGCAGCAAATACACCAGATGAGAGAGAGAGTTGCTATATCAGAACAGATCCATTACCTCTCTTGGAAACAGACTGTATAGTTTATTCTACAAGTGCTGTGACAGCAGCATCTTTATACAGGAGAGCTAGCCTACTGTGAACCAATTACACTGTGACGCATGGCTGGGGGTGCGTATGCATTTGCTACTCGTCGGAAGTGTCCTTTAACCACTGGTTTGATTTCAGACCCCTGCTTTGAACTTGCTCTGGGAGAAGTGCAGCAGTGATAACGTGGTGGTTCGGACAGCCTGCTGCGAGGGTCTGGTGGCACTTGTTGCGCAGGATCACGCGGAGTTCAGCTATATTCTCAATGGGATCCTCAACCTGATTCCCTCTGCCAGGTACTCTTCCTGTTGGATCAGTTAACAATTTAAAGTCTTAGAAAAAAAAAATTCACTAATTTCCATGAAGGGCCCACATTTAACCTACTTACCCATTGTTTTTCTTTCTCTTAAAATGTCATGAAGTTGATACTTCATATGTGATGAGAACATGCTAGTTTAAACTCTATAGGTTTAGAATTTGTGGGCCTTTGCTGTACTTAAGTTTGGGGCTCTGCTTAAATTTGTCATTGTTCTGTTTCATGAAGAAAATAGCTACATAGTGAAGAATTTACAATTGCAGTGCACATTCCTGACTTACTTTAAGAAAGAAGGCTGCCTCTAAGCAGTACTTCCACAGTGGTCAAGTTTCTACACTATTGAAAATAGTTTGGCATTAGTATGTGTATTTTGTGGTTTCAACATGTCTTCCCCTGAATATTATCCAAGTAAATGATGTATAGGTGTGTGTGTGTGTGTGTGTGTGTGTGTGTTTTTAATTTGTTTGGTATGACTTTATTTAGTACATTCGCAGACTGAGCATAGTGGAATCACAAGGGCTAAAAGGGGATACGCTATCCTGAGGTGGTTAAACAGGACCGTATTGGAAACATCCTGTGGAAATAAGACTGTCTTGCAAAATACTCCCTGAAAAAGGGATGCCACTCTTTGCTTCAAGAAATGGTCTTAATTTGCCTTCTTTAAGTCATTTGGGCTTCTGCCTCCTCCCAACTCCTACCAGTGTTTTCTACTCACCTTTATTGTAGTAGCATCAGAACTGAATACTTCATCTTTTTTTTCTGCTCTCTGTGGAGGGGGAAAGAGTCACAGTCTCATTGTTGGGCAGAAGAGTTTTCCTCTCAGTCTGTGGAAGATGCTTTCCTGGACTTGAAGCTTATTAGGCTCAATAATCTCTGGCCTTTTAAATTCCTTTCTTCACAAATCTTGTTAGTTTCCTTAAATCACCTCTTTATATCTTTTTGGAACCTTAATTTTTCTTTTAATTCTGCTGTGTATAGTTGTAAGTCCAAACCCTTGAGTGTGGTACATGCCCTTCCCAAACTACCCGCAGCCTTCTGTTCAACCTGCATTCCCTGCCGTGAACTCTCGCCTCTAGCTGTACACACCTGTTCCCCATTCCTGAGCTTTCACATGTGCTCAGCCTCCACATGGAATGTTCTTTCTCCTTCTCTTTCTGACTTCATCTTCATCCTTCAAAGCTCAACTGAGATGTCACCTCTCCTACCTAGATACTCCCCTCTTCTCAGCTGGGCTCCTTGCTCTTTCACAGTTTTCTTTTCAACCTGTATTTTCATCTCTAGTGCACTCTAACAGATAACCAACTATCTATAATAATAAAAGCATAGACCGGACATCCTTCCAGACAACATTCCGGACGAAGCCGGGGCTGCGAGGGAAGCCCGGTTCCCAGATGCCTGCCAGCGGCCAGAGGGAAGCCCAGGTCCCGGGTGCTGGAGGGAAGCCCGGGTCCCGGGTGCCAGAGGGAAGCCGGTGCCAGCAGCCAGGGGAAGGAAGGCCTACTCTTGCACGAATTTCGTGCATCAGGCCTCTAGTTTCTGAATAAGTAAGGATTTGATCATGCCTAAAAACTTATTTATTTTCTGTCTTTTTCTCTTTGCACGCTCACATTGCATGCACATGCACACATACACCACGCTTTTAGAAGGATCCTATTTTCTACCCATTTAAAAAAAAGTAGTTTTGAGAAGGCTTTTAAAGAGTTAAGTTTTAATGTGTTGCTCTTTTTTGTAACTTATTGGTTGACTTTAAGCAGGCCACCTAGATTTTGCATTACCCCTTTTTTTTCAAATGCAGGTACAGTAATGGTATTTGTTCCCCCCTACATAGTTTTCAAATGCCTTAAAATGCACAATATAAAATCCATTTGTATTGTGCTATACTATTTATACTTAAAAGCCAGAGTATCAGCAGCTAAGGGAGTGGAGTTAGTCTGTGTATGTGAGGGATACTCGAGCAGGTTAGATTATACCTTTAGTTCTAGAAGATCATGTTAGAAAATGCTGCTGGTGTGATACATTCCTCACACTTCAGTAAAGTCCTTCATCACTATTGTAAACTAGAAAGCATACACCTGGCTGATAAGGAACCAGCATCCCATCTGTATATATTATAATTTGTCAATCACCTTAGATTTTTTTAAATTTTAAAAATGTAGTATTTTTTGAATAGATAATACATGGTAAAAAATTCAAAAGGGCATATGAAGCAATGTCTCTGTCTTATTATCCTTTGAAAGGTGTTACATATTCATGTAACTGAAATTTATGTGTAAATATTTTTTTCTTTAAGAAAACCCACAAAATTAGTAGTCCACTACACATAGTGTTCTTTATTTTGCATTTTTCATGGAAAAAACATATTTTAGAGATAATTTCTTAACATACATAAAGTACTTTCAAATTTTTCCAGCTACATTATATTTCATTGTGTGAATGTGCCATAATTTACCAATTTCCTATTGTTTTCAATTATTTGCATTATAGGCAGTGCTTCAACGAGTAATATAATCTTACACGTATAGGTAACCATTAGTTTTCAGAGGTCATTAGATATAGAAGAAAGCACTGAATTCTATAATATGCAATTATATGAATTTTAACAATTAAAGTATCCTGGAAAAAAATTCTTTTACAAAAATCTTTTTTTTAAAAGATTTTTTAAAAAATATATATTTTATTGATTTTTTACAGAGAGGAAGGGAGAGGGATAGAGAGTTAGAAACATCGATGAGAGAGAAACATTGATCAGCTGCCTCCTGCACACCCCCTACTGGGGATATGCCCGCAACCAAGGTACATGCCCTTGACCAGAATCGAACCTGGGACCCTTCGGTCCGCAGACCGACGCTCTATCCACTGAGCCAAACCGGTTAGGGCTACAAAAAATCTTTTATCTGAGAATATTCATGTTGTCTAAATTGTTAGCCACAGGGAAATGGTGATAGAATAGACTGCAGCTAACCAATTTAATTTTTTTAAAATATATTTTTTATTGATTTTAGAAAGGAAGGGAGAGGGAGAGAGAGAAAGAAACATCAATGATGAGAATCATTGATCAGCTGCCTTCTGCACGCCCCCTACTAGGGATCGAGCCTGCAACCCGGGTATGTGCCCTTGACTGGAATTGAACTTGGAACCTTCAGTCTGCAGGCTGACACTCTACCCACTGAGCCAAACCAGCTAGGGCACCAATTTAATTTTTGAATCAATTTGATCATACAATGTGTTATATAAGTGCTAAGTTTTCTTTATTGTTACCAGTAGAAGTAATAATTATATGTGAAGAATTTTCTTTATTTGGCTTATTTCAAGTAGCAGAGCTCTGTGGTTCGTAGCCATTACAACAACTAAACGTTATTTCTTTAAAAAACAAACAAATGAGAATTACATTGAAGAAATTATACTAAATCTAATTAAAAACAGGAGATCCAAATAGCCTCCTCCTCCAAATGCTGCTCAGGGGATCTTGAGACAGAAAACCATCTTTATCTGTGGGATTTAAAAGCACTTGCCTGTGCTTCTTGGCTGAGACATTTTAGATCTTCAGTTTCCAGTATTCAAATGTCTACTTGTCTCTGGAACTCTCTTCTTAACATAGAGGTTTATTAGCATCTAGAGGCACCCTGGGAACAGAGCCGCTCAGTTTTGATGTAGAAAATAATTGTAAAAATTTCTTTCCCTCAAGCCTACCATCTTTCAGGGAGAGAGAAGAAAAAGAGAGAGAGAGAGAAAGAGAGAGAGAGAGACAGAACTTGTGCTGGTGTGGGGGACTGATGGTGGGAAGCAGTCTTCTGTGGAATAGATATCTGGGAATGTAGAAGTTTCTGGAACTTTCTCAGTATGGTAGTAAATGTTGAAAGCTGCAAGGAAAGATGGAAGGCAACGTTGATGAGACCAGCTCTCCTAACTTTGTAACCTGCCCCTTAGCCCTTGGCAGGTCTAGTCTATAAATTTCTCTTGGAACATGTATTGGACCTCCACCACCGCCTCAAAACTACCCACATTGTATAGTCTGACTTTGAAAAAGACTTGACATTTGCAAAGCTCTGATTGTCCGAACCTCGGGGAGGGGCTGGGAAAGCGCCTGCCTCTGTTTGAGAGACTGTTCCCTTCAAAGGAGCAGTTTGATGTCCAAGAGTATTCTTGGTTCAAAGCTGAGGCAACATGAAACAATTGTAGACCAGTTTTTATAGCTTCTGTAAACAAAGAAATGGATTTCAGAGATCCAAAATGTTCCTTTAATCAGTAAGGAAATTTGAAAAAGAAAAAAAAAAAAGTCCCCAGGAAGGAAAGAAGGGGACCAAAAAGACAGCACAGAACGGAAGTCATTATCAACAGTTAAATGTGAATTTTCAAATTAAACAAAACTGAAATTAAAGTGAATGATACATAGTAGCATGTACTTTTCTTGTCTTTTAAGGAATTGCTTGTTTTAAGTGTAGATAGTTTTGGGGTTTGCTTGTTTGTTTTGACATTGACTGTATCCTAACATAATGATTCCCAAAGCAAAGGGTGTCCCCATTTTTCTTACATTTCCCGCCCCCTTAACTGTGCTAGCTTCTAAGAAAGCTGATGCAGCCATTGTTATAGTTGCTTAGTAACGGGACTGTGAATAAAAACCGTACTGTCCTGTGGAACCAGGTATTCAGTTTTCGATATTGAGATGTCGTGACAGCCTGTAATTTCAGTTTAACTGCTTCCCCAACCTCTCCCCCCACCTTCTTTTAAAAATGTGTTTGGTAGAACAGTTATGCTCTTGATAAACTAGGCTAGCACTTGATTTGTGTGCCTTTTGTACTTTCAAACAGAGAAAAGAACTGCAATTTACGTATTTGGGAAAATAAAGTGTATTAAGGTGTGAGAGATAAAAGTCTATTTTCTGAGGTTCCTGAAGTCTACTTTTAAATGAAATTTTTCAGAGGGTATTAAAAATGCCCTTAGTGTGTCCTGACTAAAGCTGTTGGACTCAGTGAGTTCTTG